ATAAAGTTTACTTTATCACGCATCCATTATAATTGGGCGCAGAACAAAGCACACGACAGCAGTTAAAAGATAAAAATACTGGAGGAGGCATGCAATTACCGGATAAGAAGTTCAAATTGAAGAGCAGAAGTAATGGGGAAGCAGCTAATTTGCATTTTGATTGATTATTTATGCAACGGGAAACAGCGTTCACCAGTTCACCAAGGTATGGAAATATGGAAGCAGGCTCTGCACTCGCGTAAATTTGCTAAACGCCAACATAACAGCGCATATGGGACTCAGAGGCAATTTGGTAAATGTTACCACAAATAATTCAGGATGAATGCGCTTAAACTCTAAATAATAGCATTGCGGGAATTGAGAGCAAAAGCTTAGCTGACGACTACCACAAGCAACCGATTAAAGTAACAAGCTTTAATCTATAATGCCATACTAATATGATTCTTATTAGCTCAAAGGACTGAACTGAAAGGAACATTTTTCAAACTACAATTTAAGCCAAATTAAGCCAAAATAATTCAAAAGTTTTAATTACCAACTTTAATGACTGAGATAAGATAAATTTGGGTTTATTATTTATGGCACAAGCAACTGGACCTAATCAGGCGATAGACTAATGTCTTTGGTCAAATGCATAATGATTATGATAATAGAAAGTTGGTTAGAAATTAAAAGCGTTACACTTTGGCAGCAGCACAAAAGTTAAACTCTATTTCCAACCCTATTTTGCAACCCTATTCCAACCCTATTTTTATACGCTTACCCTATTTAGTGCTGGTAAAATTGTAACCAACGAAACCATATCCGGTAGAGCAATTCAGTGCGTCTGCTGGGTGTAACTTTTTTCTGTTGGCTCAGTAAACCAAGGTTCATTTAAATATTCATTGTCCTTTCTACATTTTATTTTGATTGCGTATCAAGCCGTTGTTGGCATTTAACGCACAGCATTTGCTTGTCGGCTGGTGCGGCCATGGTGGGGCTATGGTTGTGCCATGGAATGGGGAAGTTAAATAGGATAGACTACTGTACGACACTGTTACTTGTAGACAAGAAATTTTACATTTTACATTTTAACGCAATAAAAAATAAACTTTTCTAATTAGAAGCCATTATGCGATCAAAGCAGCAATTATCCTTAAAAGTTGCCATGGTTTTTTGGTTTGACAATGAAATTGTGTTTTAGCATAGCATAGGACTTCGCACAGCTGGGTATTGCACGGTTGTACGGGTATGTATCTCTGTGTGTATGGTTGACAGGTTTTTAACTGCCTTCAAGGTCCATACCGAAACGTTTTTTGGTTGTCATTTAAATTGCTTCAAATTGCATTTATTCTGATTGTTGATTAAAAAATCTAGCTATATTCAAATGCCATATACTTTCATGTTCGTTTGGAGTGTTGTTCTTAATCAAACGGTAATTTTCAGCTACTCTCTATGTATGTATGAAGGCAGTAACAATTTTATGAGTACTTTAGAAAGAGTGTGACACTGACAACTTTCAAGCTATTACAAAATTTTAGAAACTTATTCCAGACTTTATTCAATTATAAAAAGAAGAACTATTACATTTTTTGCAAGAGATACTTTGATTTCTTAAATCATAAAACATTGTACTATCCACTTGATAGTTAAGTAACACATTGAAACTGTTTGCCTAACTTATAAACACAAATATAATATATATAATTTATTAATTTAATTACCTACAGCACAGATCAAAGTACCTGCATTCATTTGCTATTGTATTCATTAGGCCCTATTCTGCTGCAGGAAGCGCTCAAGCGAGAATATCTGACATATAAGTGCATTCTCCATACAATTTTTGACAATAATTTTCTTAACTGGAATAATGAAATTTCACTGTGCCAACCACAATTACAACCACAATTACATTAAATAACAAACAAAAGGCAATAGTCATGCTAAGTAATGAGAAGACATTTAAGAATTTGTGTCATATATTCCATTCACAAAGAACAACTAGAAAAACAAGATAAGATCAATAATTGAAGACGAAGAAAACTTCTTTATCATTGCGGCGTGAAGCTGTTGAAATTGTTTTCCAGGCTTTTCGCTTTACAACACTGTAACTCATGTATTCATGTACCGATAAATTAAAAATTATTCAGCTAAAATTTGTCTACATTCACGGGCCATAATTTATACCAACTAATACCTAAGGAGGGCTCAAAAAAAGTAAATAAATTAACAAAATCACAAGAGAAGACAAAGAAGATAGGCAACATAAAACGAAACGATAAAGTTTTTGGGAAATTTGAAAAACTTTGCCGCCCAATGTGTCAATGTTAACACTGGAAAAACCACAATGGGCCAAACCAAACTGTGAACAACTCATAGAAATGTGGTTGCCTCCACTCGACGTGCCTAAAAGTTTACATAATTGAAATAAGTTTGTCAGCGAAACAAACAAAAATAAGTAAAATAAATAATTTTATGTTGAAAAAATAAATTTAAATTAAGCTGGTAACATTGTTTTGGGGTTAAGAGGAACTAACATTGGTTGAAATGGTATAGGTAAATATTTGAACTTAGTGGTGACTAACAACTCACTGATAAGTCACCTTTAACCCATAGTAACGCACAGTTTTCGCAAGTAAGAAAAGTAAGTAAAAAATTAGAGTACGGACTGAGTAGGTTTTACAGGTCTTTTTACGGATTCATTTAATAGGCGTCTAATTAATTTCTTTTTTTTATTTATATATTTACAAATCGTCCCAGTTATAACTATTTAAATTTACAGTAGCCGATATATTTAATTATAGCTTTCATTTTTTTATATTATCTGTACTTCAGCTACATCAACATTTTTGATTAATATTTTGTTATTACTCGCTGCTTCCTTTTTATAGTTCTTATACACATGGATAGAGAAAGCTATTAGATTCCCATCAATTTTCATTATTTTCCTTATAATTTTCACTCATTTCTATACATATTTAAAGCCGGTTTTTATGAAGTGAATCTTCATAAAAACATATCCATAATAGGTGTTTATACGTTTAGGTGTTTATAACTAAGAAGTTAACTGCACTCATTATCAACTCATTTTTCCGAATTGTCTCAATTTTTGCCAACAATCAGAAGCCAATTTTTGGAGCCAATTCCAAAAATTAAGACGTTCAACAAGTTTTTAAAATCCCTGAGAGCATAATGAAGTTATTCGTCTTTTCAATACTTTGACTTGTACGTTGACGTGATGTGTAAAACACTGACGCAGTGTCTTTTTTCATTGTTCCCGAAGAAAATTTTGAAGACTTGTGGGAAGCAGGTTTTAGTACGACATTTGATAGTTAACGTCCAATCTTTGGTGAAATAATAGATTCAACTTTTGCTCTAGTGAAATAAATTGTTATTATTTTATTTTATTGCTTATTGTTGCCTGACTTTAACGGATGAATTAACTCCTTTTGGGAATCATACAATAAACGGTTTAATTTATTTCTAGATCATATGTGTAGAACCAAGATTCATCACCCGATGGAGTGTTATTTAGGGTGCCAGATCACCAGTTATAATTATAATTTAAATTTAGTTCATAAGCAATTATATTCTAAATAAGTCTTGGATGTTGATTAATTTGGAACTTCATCAGTCAAAGATTTTAAGCGAATTTCGTACTCCATAGAAAAATGTCTGGTATGGGTTCTATGCAACCACTGCAATATAACAGAAACAATGGTGCACTCTCTCTCCATATGCTATGTGGCACTTATTATGTAGTTCTGCAGGCCTAAGTTTTCACCGAACTCCATAAAGTTTGGCAAAACGCATCTTTTGCATCCAATGGCGGCACAAATAACTTCGACTTTCTGTTATTAAGTTCGGCATAATTTAAATATTTATTTTAGAATATCTATTTGAATATCTTAACACATTCTCTGTGAATGCTTAAAACTAAATAACAGATGTGGCCATCTTTAAGATAGAGTAGTCGTTCCAAATGACATATAGAACAAAACAAAGCCATTGAATGTTCTTAGGTGTATTTAGAACTTAAGGATCCGTAAAAAAAACTGGAATTAGGACAAGACATCACCTAAGTTCCAAGGTAGAAATTTCCCTAATTAATAAATGGATATAATATGAATAGATATAAATAATATGAATAGTTTAAAAATAGTATTATGAGTAGAAAATGCAAAATGGAGGCCTAAGTGGATCCCTTGGGATCGCCGGTATAATTTAATACAAAATGGGCTTGTAAGTTTACTAAAATATCAGTGAAGGCAAAAATAAGTACTTAACAAGAACGTAGGCAAAACCAAAGGTTACTATTCTTTTATTTTATAAATAGTATCCATTTTATGTATATCTTTCCTGTCTTAAATCTTGGTAACAATTCAACAGAGACGTTGGTAATAAAAATCGAGTAAAATATATTTAATAAAAGGCATTCAATCATAAACTGATCTACAGTATCTTGTCAGTCCTAAATATAGTTTATAGAGGTTATTGTTACTATTATCATAGTATCCTTTCAAATTGCTACTTATTTTTATTTTATTATTAATAATTTAATATTAAATTTAATAAAATTTAATATTTTTGTTAATATTTATTTTAAAATTTGCAATTATAAAATCATCAGTAATTATTTTATTTATTTTAATACACATTAGACTAATAAATTAAAATGGATATGTAAACATTAATTAGTAAAAATTTGAAATCAAATAAATATTCAGAGCTCACAAAGAAAATGGGAATAATGACGATGATATGTTCCAATTAAAAATATATTTTCAGCAGATGAATTCTGAACGATTTAATAATTGTCGACAAATTAGAAAAATATAGTAATTCATGAAATTTATTAAAAGTTTTGAATATACTGGTGTTGGTAGTATTTTAAAAATCCTTTCTATGATTGTTATTAATATTTCCGAATAACCTTTCACATGTTGGAAATTTAATACATCCTTAAAACCAAGCCTAATACTTTGCATCTTATGTTAAAATTTTTTTAATAATTGCATAGCTCACCTCAATAAACTTCCGGCATGTGAACGATAAGTTGGGGGTGGAGAACTGCCACGAACTACACCATGTTGCCGATCCCTGTCCAATAGTAAAAGCCTGTAATAATAAAGTAGTATTAAGCAATATTTAAACATTCGTTGTGTGTAAATGTATTTATGCGAATTAAATAAATGATCCTTAAACATGCAAGCGGAAATATTTAAATTCCATTTAAAATTGCGCAAAGTACTTCCATTGTTGTCCAGCTTGTAATGCATGTATGCAGCAGGACATGGCAAGAAAGGATATATAGCACGAATCCATAAAACACGCAAACCACAATTTGTGGTCACACCAAACTTAATTGACAGTTTCTTTGTGTTTTAAATTAAAAATTGCACCTAATGTTTTTTTTAGTCATTGTTTTTGTTTCGAGAAGTAATGCACTGACCCTGTTAAAAATACAATAGTGGCGTGCAGGTGGAAATGCTAACTTACCTCAATCGATATTCCTGCATGCTAGCCTGGTACGATGGCGGCGGTGGTCGATGTTGAAACTCTGGATACAAAAGTCCATGAGGTGCACCACCGCCACGGCTGCACGGTCTACGTCCGCACCGACCTATATCGACGCTTGAACCCAAGCCCAAACAAGGTGGTCCGCCAGGTGCAGTCATACGCCAAGCGGCACCACTGACCGTCACTAGCACAACCCCGACACCTGCAAATAGAAGCAAACAGAGAAAAAATCAAATTATAAATCAATTTCAATGAACTGAAAGCTGATTAAATGGAAATAAGCATACAAAGGGATTTGTTGAAAAGTAATTTAAAAGCATAATAAATCAGTTAAATGTATTTACCTACATATATGGAAATGCAAAAAAAAACATTGAAATTAAATGACAACATAACGACATATCAATTGATTGAATTTGTATAAAAATAATCTGGTAGACTAATTAAAAACTAATTTTTAATGCTCAGTTAAAATAAATATTTTTGAAATTCATTTCGAAAAGGATTTCTATCTGTGCAATTAGAAAGATCAGAAATAATCGAAGTGAATAATGCATTGAACCCATCAAGAACACAGCAGAGATAAAACTAATTGAAGTTATAAAAAATAAAATAAATTAAATTAAAATTAAATTAAATCAAATTTAAAAAAATTAACTAAAATAAAATTAATTTAAAAAAAATTAATTAAAATAAAAGAATATAATATGAAATAAATTAAATAAATTAAAATGCAAGACAAGAAACCAATTAGAAATAATTGGTCACAACATAAATAAATAGTCTAGTATATATATATACTAGTATATAAATAAA